CACACACACACACACACACACACAGTCTCTCTCACACACAGTGTCTCTCTCTCTCTCACACACACACACACAGAAGGATTATGGTTATGATAGAGCATTCCTATTGTCATGCAAAATTAGCCATTTTCTCACACTGATAAAACAATGAATTTAAGTTTTAATAGGAATAAATGGACACTAAGAAAAAATATGAGCTAAAGAGGACAGTATGTGTGGTCTGTACTCAAAGTAAATGTGTTTGATTTAAATGTGCGTATATTTTGATTTTGAATTCGAAATTAACCTCTCAGCAAGCTCTGCTCTCTCCTCTGTGCGCTCCAACTCTCCCTCAACGATCACCAGCTTACGTGCCACCTGTAACACACATCAATACTTCCTGGTCATGACATTTTTTCCATTTTATTGAATGATCGGTACTTAAAACATGTTTATGCAACATTAAATCAAACTTTGAGCAAAATGGTGTGGTTAAAATTATTGCTATTGTTCACTAAAGGTACAACCATTAAAATTTTTTTTTTTCATGAACTGAAATAAATTAAAATACTTAGATGAAAAACTAAATTAAATATTTTGATTTTGAATTCGAAATTAACCTCTCAGCAAGCTCTGCTCTCTCCTCTGTGCGCTCCAACTCTCCCTCAACGATCACCAGCTTACGTGCCACCTGTAACACACATCAATACTTCCTGGTCATGACATTTTTTCCATTTTATTGAATGATCGGTACTTAAAAAAACATGTTTATGCAACATTAAATCAAACTTTGAGCAAAATGGTGTGGTTAAAATTATTGCTATTGTTCACTAAAGGTACAACCATTAAAAAAAATGTTTTCATGAACTGAAATAAATTAAAATACTTAGATGAAAAACTAAATTTAAATAAAAAATACAATACAATAATAAAAGCTTATTTCAAAATAATAAATATTACAATACTATATAAATAATACTGAAATAACACTGGTTAAATTACCTCCTCATATTTGCGGTCGGCCTCCTCAGCAATGTGCTTGGCCTCCTTGAGTTGGATCTCCTGGAGCTCCATCTTCTCCTCATCCTTCAGAGCCCTGTTCTCAATCACCTTCATCCCTCTATTCCATGGAGAGATTGAATTAAATGGAAGTAGGGCAAGTTAGGGTGGGATGAATGAGCATCACTCTGAATGCGTTTGCCTGACTAGGCGAACGTACCTCTCGCTCTCATCTGCGGCCTTCTCAGCTTCCTCCAGCTTCTGCAGGGCTGTGGCCAATCTCTCCTGTGCACGATCCAACTCTTCCTCAACAAGCTGGATACGCCTGTTCAGAGAGGCCACCTCTGCTTCAGCCTACAAAGCAAACATGACATAAATAACAGGAGATTAGTGCGGATACAATATTCCACTGAACTTCAAGGGAGCATGAAGTGATGTGAGATAAGGAACATGAGGATGGTAAAACACTGGGATAATCTCGACGAGCCAAGACAACCTGGAGACAAACATGGAGTCAAGACTGGAAACTGGAACCAATGAGACAGGAAAAACTTCATGTGGTGGAATCATTTGGGAGCTTCTGCTTGAGAAGAGTGGCACCACTATGTTTGCAATGGGCAATTATTTTGTGATGAGTGAGCGTACACAGTGACTCAATTTTTTTTAGCAAGGCGTCAGTATTAATAATGCTCTGACTAAGGAAAGGGATTATTTAAATCATTGGTCCAAACCAAATTTCAGCATGGAACATGTCACACTGAGTTATGGACATTAATGATGCCTCAAATGTTGCTTACTGAAGAAAGGTGTGCTTATGACTTTCTGATGTTCACCCAGTGGACGAAAAAACAGGCAAAAATCCCTCAGACATAAAGGAAATGGATATCTCTGCATCACAATATTGTAGAGACTTAGTAGTGGGCTTTTTTGACTCAGATAGCAGGCAGTCACTCACAACACCATTGCAACTTCCTAGCCACGCCCTAGCAACCAGATACTACACCCTAGCAACCATATAACAACCAAAAACATCACAGGAATGGGCTCTTGGGGCCCCAGTCTTATCTAGTTAATATGTACCTAAACTCTTTCAAACAGATGTCAGAATCTTTCAAGATTCTGAAATTATTTCAAGAGGAATCACTTACAAGATTTTCATTCTAGCAGCAATATCGAAAATAGCTTCTACTGTGTCAGAAACTACAAATCCTGAGGAAGTTTTTGTATAGGAAGCGATCGTGCCTTTCATTCATTAGTGCAACTGAATAAGGAGGGGCACTTCTGCACGTTTATTGAAATAAAGTCACATTTTTAACAATACTGAAGATTTACGTGGTTAATACAGTAACGTCAACGGTCTAAGACCACTGAAACTCGGTGGGCTCGAAGCTCAAAAACAGGTTAACAACCGCGCGGCCCGCGCCCCGTCAGCTGAGAAACAGCGCTCGAGCAAAGCTTGCGGATATGACGACACCGCTAACAAACACTGGAGTTTCGCTCCTAATAAGGACTGAGGAATCTGAAGTCTGCGGGTGAGTTCATATCAAGCAATGCCAATCAGACGGAAGGCATGGTTGAGTGATAAGCGACTTCAAGCACACACACAAAAAAAGCAACCTAGACAAATGTCTAATTCAATTAAAATTCACAAAAGTTGCCAAAGGTTAAAATAGGCTGCTAAAAGCCCAAGTAACATGCGTGAACAACTCAAAAGTGGCGATTGAGCACCTGATGACCCAGATGTTACCGTGCTCGAGCGAAAAGCACTATTTGAACAAAATGACACAAATGAAACTGAGAATGAGTGATTCAGCGGGATCTATTTTGTTACTTCCTTTAGGCCTCACCCACAAAAATCCAGCAAACAATGTGAGACTAGTAGGATGAGCTAAAAACCATCTGAGGTTAGCACATCTGAGCACACAGAGTGACATGTCATCGCATGCTTTTTGTATCTATATACGCCAACACATCTCACTCTGGGTTTTTGCATTTCTCTTATGAAATATATACGCGGGTACAAATGAAAATCTTAAATGAAGATGAACCAGTGTGCGCATTAGCTTGTAGGTTTTGCAATAACCATCTAACCGGCCCATCTTTTCTTAGACTTGATGGTCTAGAATGAACAAATCGTTGTCACAGACCACTCTAAGCGCATACTTAATGTTTATTAGATATCGAAATAAGTTTAACAGAGTTTCAGTCACATAATTCTTCGTAAAGTTTGTTAAATCTGGGCGTGAAAGTAAAAACGCACGACCTCCGCAGAAAAACGCATATGATACAACATAGCGATTGTATCGAGAAATGAGACGGTTTTACGTGAATACAAGTGTCGCTGTGGATGCATTGATACACTCACCTGCTCCCTGGCACGCTTCCCACAATTCCCTGCGTTACATTTCAAATTTGATGTTTCTTCTTAGTTTTTTCTTATCGGTTTTGTATATTAGGGTTGTGTGTTACACCTAATGTTGTTAAATGAATGTTTATTGCATTATTTCAGTTTCATGTGTGTTACCATGATGGTGTTTAGTGTTTGTGTGAATGAAACTGTGCACCTTCTATAAATGTTATTATTTAAAAGCTGCTTGTGATGGGCTTTGGTTCATCATGTGACTTTCTCATCACCACCTGCATTTGGTGGTTATCAGTGTATTACAAAGGTACAAAACAGATTTCAGTAAGGTTGGTATATTAACATTATATCAGTTAATGAAATTACAGTATTTAACTGTAAATTTAAGTTAAAACCGTAAAACCTAAAACGTTGCTACCGTATCATTTACGGTAAAATTCCGGCAACCACAGCTGCCGGTTTTTTACCATAAATTTTACAGATTTTTTTTTTACAGGGTGTGTAAAGTTGTCAGTGCAATCAAATCTGGGATATTACTGAATATTATACATCAAAGCAGCCAAAGGGGCCACAACAGCAAATTAATGTTACACAATCAGTTATGTATATCATTATGAAATGATCCATTATTACATTTTGCTGCTTTTTAACAATTAAAATAATGTGTTTTAGTCTTATGTGTCATTTGTAATCCTTCAGAACCACCATCCACTGAATCATGTCTGGCATATTTAGGCTGTAAACGAGAACAAGGCGCGTTACAAATCCTTTACTTGTCGTTACGTGTAATTCCATTGATGGTGTCACAGTAAGTTCCTGTGCTTTTGAGCAAACAAACCCTGATTCAGTTTCTTATTGCAGTCTGAGTAATGACAAAATCACATTCATATATTTTCATGTGTCAACGTGTGTGTCAGAAGGCCACATTGGAGAGATAACGTGTGGACACTTATAAATCTGTTGTTGGCCTGCCTGTTATAGAAACAGACCGATTGGTGTGATTTATATTTTAGTTTTTAAACAATATTCATACCATAATAATATTAATTATTATTATTACATTGATTACACATAATATCAGTTATTACATTTAAATACTTACATTTTCTATTTTATTATTATTATTATGATGTTATGTTTGTATTGTTGTAGTCTAATGATTATTTACTTATTGTGTAAAAGAAGTAGATATAAATAAATAAACAAGATTTCTTCTGCTACATATAGGTATATAAACAAAAATAATCATTATTGGTAGTAAAAATGTTGGTCGATCTCTAGTATATAGGTCTGCCATAGTTATTATCTATAGATTGTTTATGTTGTGTTATGTTGAATTGTGTTGAGTTAAGTTGTGTTATAACTAAAATGATTTTTTTAATAACCTTCAAGGAGCACCTATGCAATTGAGAGATTTAAACAATGTGTAATTGTATCTTTCCGTTAAATTAAATAGTCTGACATTGTGATTTGGATTTAAGTCTACTGAGAGATTCCATTATAGAATTTACCCACAGGATTACATGAGGTCATAAAAAAGAATCCAGTGAACAAGCTGAATTCACAGGTCTGGGCAAAACTGAACAAGACTATAGTAATGCTGTCTGTTGTCTGTCTGTGCAATCTTTCTAGTATCCGTACACTATGTCCTGCTGAACACTGTTCAAAGAATACCCAAGGCTATGGTTTTATATGTTCATTTTGTAATTATTTCTACAAAGACTTTTAATATTGACAGACCTTAACGGTTTAGCCTCAGAACAATGTTAAAGGTAAAGGAATGTTGACTGATCCTGAATCATTCTGTTGTAGACAAGCACTGCAAAATCATATTGCATCATCATTTCCTGTTTCACCTTTCCGGCCTCCCTTCCCTAATGTGGAACAATTTCCAGACTCCATTTATAACTTGGGACCTTTATCATATGTTGCCACCATCTCACCAGATGATGGCGCCAGGTGATCTAGATTGTCACAACAGCCCCACTCATAAAATCATTTTCTACTTTTTCAGCTATAAATTATTGACATTTTGCTTGCTTCTCATTTTCTATATATAAACTGAGGGGGGAAAATGTTTGGGGTTATAAGATTTTTTTTAATGTCTTTGAAATAAGTTTCTTATGCTCACAAAGGCTGCATTTATTTGATTGAAAAATACAGTAAAACCGTAATATTGTGAACTATTTTTACAATTGAAAATAACTGTTTTATACGTTGAAGATATTTTTATTTATTCCTGTGATAGCAAAACTGAATTTTCAGCAGCCATTACTCCAGTCTTCAATGTCAAACAATCCTTTAGAAATCATTCTAATATGCTGATTTGATACTTAAGAAACATTTCTTATTAAAGTTGAAAACAGTTGCACTGCTTAGTATGTTATTATGAAACTGATATGTGATATATTATTTTAAATATATATATATATAATCTGTGATAAGAGACAAGAGATAAAAGAAACAAAACTGAGCATTTTAACTCTTTTCGGCAGCAGAGATTTTATATCTTTAAAAACTAAAGCTTATGTCTCTAATGGCCTGTTGATGCTATAGGTCATAGGTGACGAGATGCATGGTTTGACATTCTGACCTCAAGACACACTCACATAAACGCAAGCTCACTTACATCAACATGGTAAGACCCACTGCAGCAGCTGTACGCATTTGAAAGACTCAAGAAACTATGACAATGTTCTTACTATTTCTACATTTATGGATGTATGTATACATTTATGAGCAAAGGTTGTATCTATCCTCAAACCTTTCACATTTTCACCATGACTGCTCTGGACACTGTTAGGCCGCTTGCTCTGAGCTCTATTTAAAGGATCCACCCCCGGATTCAAACCAGATCACTGTGTCTAGTCGGCCTGTCTGTCAAGTTTGCACTGCATGATGATGAGTGACTAATTGTACTCTAAATTACCATTAAATCCAACTCTTTTTAACTGTGTGGGGTAGCAAGGTAAGTGATAGCTTGGTGGTGAAGTTTTGAGTCAAGGTTGTGATGAAAATAGATTTCAAAATGACAGCTGTAATGGAGCAACCCACACTCACCCTCTGTTTGGAGCTACTGTTCTCATGCTGCTTGTCTGATTAGGGGTTGCCAGATTCGAAACAATAAATCCTCCTCGCTATATTACAGTGTGTCTCCCTACAGTACTGACATGAAATCTTTTTCTGCTCTCCCTCTCTCTGTAAGGTCAGAGATGATCTCACAGCCTGGTTTAGGTTGATTTAAGACACACACACACACACACACACACACACACACACACACTTCAAAGCCTATGGTATTTAGTTCATCTTCTAAAGGCCGAATTTTATGACAACAGGTGTGCCTGCTATATCCGGAGCCCAGAACAAAGGGACAACGACAGGCAACAGATAGACATACTTGGTGTAACAGAGTTGAGCGTGATGGCACAGTCTTAGTTTAGCTGTCAAAGACGGAGTCAAGTTACACAATGGCGATTAACAATGAAGTGCCTTTTGCTTATTTGAAATGAATCAGTTCTTGAGTTGCATAAGATATATATATATATGAAAGCATTAGCAAATAGTTGTCGATTTTAAAGTCCACGTTGAAAAATGTTAGAGATAAAAGCTAGTATTTTTAAAAAAACACTCCAAACATGACTATTCAAGAAGAATACTAAAAATACAAGACTTACAAAGCTTTACACCTCTAGTCTGTTCTGTTAAAGTCTGTTCATGCCAGGAAGGTTCTTTCTTATGTTCATTGTTCCTCTCGCAAACACTGATTTACAGCCCTGCTGCTAAATCAGCAGTCTCAAGGTAGTAATTTTCTCACCGAGGACTGCAGGCAAGAGTATATATGCACAATATCACCCACACTTTTTGTCACCTCGTGTGTGGATAAGTTGGGAACCAAGAACTTATTCTGATTGATTCAGAATTAACCAGTTCGGTTAATATCAGGACTAAATGACATTCAGTTAACGGCTCTCCACATTTTAAATATAAAAGAGTTCAGTTTTTTTAGAGTCACCACAAAATTGCTACTGAATTCACAGCGCAAAACAAACACGACCAGTTTAGCAATTTCCAAACAAATGAGTGTCATGAGCCGGTTATTTTTAGTGAATCAACAACAACATGCAGAGCTACCACTGTAGTCTGACTACCAAATAGGGTTGCCAACTTCAGCAAATGAAAATACGGGACGGTCACCTTTTTGGGGTGATTGTCCAAACCCCAATATATATTAGTATGCATGAAAATGCGTTTTTTGCAACTTAAATTATAGATTTAATGGGCTGCTTTTGGTGCTTGACACCTTTTTATTGGTCATTTTGTGTTTCAAGAATAAGGTCCAAGGTTAAGAATTATGCTCTTAGTTACTTAACTATAAAATGTTTTTCTCTATTTATCAAGATTACAATAGTGAAAGACGACTTCCCTAATTATCACGTCTTTTGCGCGGCGGGATGTTGGACTCATGAAAAATAATCACGTTGTTTATATTCACCAAAACTGATTTACTGAAGTGAAAACATGGACGGAATTGGCGTTAGAGCGAGCGCCGCTTGCTGTTGCACAAACAGTCAGGTTATCAGTTTAAGTCAGATCATTGTTGATTCAGTAATGTCATCGTCCAGCTCAATTCAGTTCTGTTCCATTAGTGTCTGTGTAGTCAAGTCAACAATGTTGCCAGAAATTGTGTCCCCAACAAAGCAACCCAAAGGCGACAGTGGAGAACCAAACCCCATCAAAACCTTGGTATAAACCAGGCTCAGTCACGGGGCCAGTTCTCCTCTGGCCAGACGAAACCAGCATGGTGTGGTTTAATTCCAGGCTGCAACGCACGTCAGCACTACCAGTGTAGTCCAATTCTTGAAGGAATGACTCTTATGAGCCGGTTCGGGGGGATGCAGCGCTAACCAGTGTAGTACGGTTCTTAAACAAATTACGCTTTTGATTCTTTTTAGTGAATCGACAGCATGTAGGCCAACCAGTGTGGTCTGACTCTGTAAGAATGATTCTCCTGAAAAGTTTTTGTAGTGAATTAACAACATACAGCGCAACCATTGTAGAATCTAGCTATAATTCTCAGACGAATGACTCTAATGTGTTGATTCTTTTCAGTGAATCAAACACATACAGCCTAACTGTGAAACTTAAACGTGATTGGTCATACTGTACGACATTGGGTAAAGATACACATTATGTGCTTTCTTTGTCAGTAGTGAAATTAATTAAATATATATATTTGATTGTGTAGTTATGTATGTTTATATAGTGTTGTTTTTTTAATAATATATATTTAGGCCAGTTATTACACTGCATTTATGCTGCCTCTAAAAAGATTGTGAAAATTGTGAAAAAAAAACATGTTGACAAGGCATTTTAGATGACAGTATGAATACATTTAAGGGTAGAAATGAGTTCGTCTGGCTAGTTGACACCACAGTCAAAAAAAGGGGGTTGTGACACAGTGTCAGCTGTGGAGGAGTGAATGGAGAGAATGAAAGTAATGGAGGGGTGGGACCAACAAGAATTCCGGGATGCAGTTTTAAGAGTTGCATTTGTGTTTGTGTGTGTTTTGATGCTTTGTGATTGTCAATCACTCACATCTGCAGCTTTCTTCTCAGCTATCTCCAGTTTCTCCTGGGCGTCCTTCAGGGCCTCTGAGTATTTATCCAACTCATCTTCAGTTCCCTTCAGTTTCTTCTGCATCTGAATCAGCTCATCCTCATGCTGGGAGAAAGAGAGAAAGAAAGAAAGGAAATATGAGAGTGGAGGAGATAGAAAGGGAGGGGGGAGAGAAATATTATCGGTATGAAATCATCCACTATAATACATCTTCACACATACCCTCATGCCCCATCACTTCTACCTTAATTGGCACAAAGCAACACTTTCCAGGGATTTTTTGCCCACCTTCTTCTGGTGATGTGCTAAGATATGCAGCTTACCAAAGCTATACCTTGTGTAAATGTGAATATAAATACACTCACAGGCAATCCAAAACTTTCACACATCCTCAGCCCTATCCGCAACTCCCCTCTCCATCGCTTGCTAAGACTCTGTTTATCCGCCCTGTATTCTTTCAGATCACAGCCATGCAACTGCTACTTAGTGTTGGGATCAGTATCTAAGACTTCTCATATCAAGCCTTGGTGGTGGGTGCTTATTTTCCAAGAAAGGTCTTTGGACAGTTGTCAGAATTGACCAGGTGCATTATATTCTTTAATGGATAGTCCAATCAAAAGTGAAACTTCTAGCATCATTTACTCCCCTTTCTTCTGTGGAACAAGAACAAGATCTCAAAAATACTATGGAAGTCAATGGGACCCGAAACTGTTTGTTCGAAGGAAAGTCATACAGGTTTGGAACAACATGAGGGGAGTAAATAATGACAGAATTTTCATTTTTGGGTGGACTATGCCTTCAACAAATTTACATAGTGTAAAATGACTTATATCTTTGTCTCATATTCAGATCTGTTTTGGTCCAGAATGAAAAAGTGGGCCTTTGATGCATTAAGCATTCAAACCACATCTTAAATGATTCAACATTTGGTCCCCCAAATTAAAAACTCTTCCTAAACAGCACTGAAATGAAGCATCTCCAACTCATCCCATTTAGTCAATATCAGTTTTAGTTTTCACAACCTTTGACCTTTCCACCTCCGCCTCACCTGTTTGCTTCTGTCCTCTGCTGCTTTCTTGTCGGTCTCCGCTTGTTCTGCCTGATCCAGAGCGTTCTCCTTATCCAGCTTGAGCATCAGCATCTTCTTCTTGACAGCCTCCATCTTGGCGTTGGTGAGTAGGGCTCACGGTACGAGAAACTGAAAGTGGCAGTGGAGAAGGTGAGGGCTAGTGGTTTAGGAACAGGAGCTGGTCAAGCAAGGAGCGTGGACAGAGAGGGAGTAAAGTGGACAGAGACCAAACTCAGCCAGGGATAGTGGGAGGGCATTTATATCTGGGGGCATCAGGCCATGCCCAGTTTCTAATAAACTCCGCCCACTTACTCATTATAGCTCACCTAATACAGTCATAAGTCCTGTTTGGTGTCTGATGTAGTAATGATGTAGTGATGTAACGTTAATTATCAGGACCTTATCATGATTGAAATTCAGTTTAATTTTATTATTAACACTATTTGAAGCAACTCGTCAGCAACTATACATTCACTCCAGATAGCTTTCACTTATATATTTCTTTTTTCTTGTGCATCTGTTGTTTTCATCCTTCTGTTACTAGATCATTCCGTTGGGAAAGAATGAGCTGGAAGATATGACACAACAAAGACAAGAATGGACGCCAATGGACAGAACTGAGGTTCGGCTATAATAAGACAAAGCCGCTGTGTTTGTGACAGGCACAGGTGTGTGTGTGTGTGTGTGAGTGTGTGTGTGTTACATTACTTGCATCCCCAGCTGCACTGTTCCTTTTATGGCTCGTCAGTTGCCTCTATTCATAGAGCAAATGGCTTATTTTATTAGTAAAAAGTAAGTATAAGGTTTATTAGTCAAATGTAATAGTATACATTTTTATTTTATTATAATTGTCATCATTTCTGATCTTATATATATATAATTTATATTTGTCTACTAAACTTGCATTTAAGAATGAATCTTAATATCAAGGGTGTTGTTCTCTATCACAGATTTTCACATCATGCATCCATCTGCATTCTTTACTTTAGAAGTCCTTAATGATTAGTTCTACAAATACAATAATAATATAAAAAAAAAATGTATCTTGATTTTTTTACGTAAAAAAACAACAACATACTGGAATCATTTATATTTGTAAACTACGCTTGCATTTAGGAATTAACCTTAATACCAAAATCATAGATTTAGTCTTGTCTAAAATTTTAACTATAGTGTACAAAGGGTCTTCTCCTCTAGCACCGATTTTCACATCATTTTTTTCTTTTCATTCTTTAGACGTACCTTTGGATTAATGATATGTGTATATGAAAGCACATTTTTGTAATAGTGATTAGTCATTCATGTGCGTCTTTAACAGTAAGTTCCACTAAGCTCTTGCTGAAGTAAAGGGACAATGATGGTGTCAGGTTATGAGTGAGCAGACTATTTTCAGCCGGGGGGCAGGGTATGGTTAAAACTCATTGTTTAAGTACAAATAAAACAGATTTAGGTTAGCTGTATTTAGATTTAACTATAGAATGTATTCAGAAAGGAAGAAACTATGTTTTGCACTATGCAGAAAAGGAAAGTTTTATAATAAATCTCTGATAAATAATGCATCACATCATTCCTTCAGTAAAGACAGTTCACTGCAAGGTGAGGGAGGGAAACTGTTGCACTGTAATTCAGAGCAAGTCGGTGTACACTCTTTTTTTTTAAGTGCTCTGTTTTGTTCAATAGATTTACTCATTCTTTCATCACACACTTTTAGTTTAGGATAATGAAGTGATGGATGAGGTAGTATATATATATATATATATATATATATATATATATATATATATATGTGTGTGTGCGCGCGCGTGTGTGTGAGCTATATTCTCTGTGC